TAAAAATATATTTTTAGAAAAGTTACTTACTGCACCTTTAAAGTATTACTGTTACTGTTTATGCTCCTTGCAGCACTGATAAATAAATCACTAACCAAGATCTGGACAGACCCCCTGTGAAACTCTCGTACGTTGAACAAAAAGAGGAATGTTGTCCCTCGGAATAATGTCTAAAATTAAATCAAGATATAGCGCGGGACATAAAGTTAGAACGTTCATTACAACCTGACAGTCATAATGGATCGATGAGGGTTGTACCTGCGGTCAACGCCAGTCCTCGTTGTCCGTCGCTGAGATGATCCTCTTTTTAACGTAGTCCATTGCTTTATTGGCATCCAGGAATTCCTTGTTTTCCTCCCTATGAGAGATGCGGAGCCGTGCAGGAAAAAGCAGGCCATAGCGAAAATCACGTCGGTTGCGAAGAAGCCTCCTCACCTACGTAAACGCCGCTCGAGCCTTGGCCACAGCTACCGTGTAGTCAGATGTGATGATAATCGGTGTCTCTTTAAAACGAAGAGGACCACAACTCCGAGCCCGATGCAGTATTTCCACACATTCTTGATAATAGTGCAGCTWWGCAACAATGACCCGCGGCTTATCGCCTGACCTGTTTCCACCTGGAGAGCGATGGGCTCGGTCAACCAGTGGCTCTTTATCCATCTGTAGAACCTCTGCAAGCAGTTTAGCCACTGCTGAAGTGGAGCTGGATTCTGGCATCTCTGGAACCCCAATAGTCCGCACATTGCACCTTCTCATGCGCCCCTCCATATCGTCACACTTCTTTTTGAGCCCAACGACTTCTTCTTTCAATTCCAACACGGTGGTGCACAGAGAAACAACCTCTTCGGACCAGTTTGACAAGCCGTCCTCCATCCTCTTTAACGCTCTGTTTAACGTGGTCCAGGTCTGCGTGCAGTAGCATCGTGCTGTTAGCTACTTCAGCTCTCACTGCTTGAAGCTCTCCTTTAATAAGAGTAAACTCTTCAGAAAAAGCCACTTTTATTTCGGATTTGATCACAGTTGAGAGATCGGTTTTTATAGTGGCAAGAATGTCAGACTTCAAGGAGAGTGCGTCCACCTCGCTGCGGGAGGGAGATGAGGGCCCCGAAAGTCCGGTTTTAGCTGCAGTCTGCTCCGGGGCGACGTCGGGCCTAGCAGCCGTCGAGCTAGAGTGTTTGCCTTTCCTCGAGTTTGTCGCCATTCTTCTACTCTTCCAGGCAAGAATCACTCAGGGGTAGAGTCCGGACGGACCAAATGTTCAAAACAGCAAGGACATTTAGTATAGAACCACAAACAGAACAAGTCGGAGCAGGAGCCACGCGACACACGTCTCACTCCTCTGCCATCTTGCCCCAATTTACAAACAATTCTGTCTATTGCTGCAGGTGTGGGCGCTGCTAGGTCAAACTGTGACAAGTCTCCGGCATTCAATAAACCTTGGCACATCATAACAAAAACATATTTTTCCGTCCTTAAATTTTTAGATTCAACATCTTCAAAATAAACCTGAAAAGTCAGATTTAAGACCACCCCAGAGACCCATCTTGGAAGTTATGCAAATCTACAAATTTATCAGACATATTTTTATTTCATACACATAACCCCAGCACAGGAAATCTGGTGTAATGCCCAGCAGGCGATGACCCTGACGTAGACTACGCTAGCCACAGTCCACCCCAGTACTTCCTGCTGTTTGTACAATCTCCCGGCTGCAGCTACCCTAAAATAAAACAGAAAAACTAAAGCCAAAACCTGTCTATGCCCACCCACAGAAGTCCCACAGAAATCCACCAGCGGTCACTTCAGTGCCAGACTTCTTAAAACAGAATACTTTTATTCTGAATCAATACATGACACATCCGTGTGAATTGACACCTGCTGAATGGAGAACCACCCCACACTATCACACAAACAAGGATAGAGAGAGGAAAAAAAGAGTTTGACCCCTGGATTTATTCCCAATGTCATCGCATATCCCACCTTTGAATAAGGATTTTTATAACCATGCGAAAGTCCCCACCAGGAAATCACAAATTACAATTCATGGATTTTTCCTTATGATGGGCATTTTAATCCAGCCCATGCGGCCACCACGAATTGGTTATTTTGTACCCCACCTATTTAGCGCAGTCTTTTAAAGAAGACTCACTTAGGCTTTCGGAAAGAGCTCATAAAACGGCCTCACGAAAAGATAATGTTTTCACACGCAACACACACCAAAAAATATATAAAAACACATATTTCACTACCTAAAGGGCCCAATTTATTGTATGGCTTTAAACCCCCACAGACTGATATGTTCAAACGCTTTTAAACCATCTTTTACCATCCACATTAAGCCATGTTTGTTATGACTACGCCGAATGACACGCTGCCTTTGCTGAGCTGACACACAGGCTTAGCTTAGCAAAGCTAACACTTAGCGGGGCTCCTCTAACCCCCAGCTCCACGCACCAGCCGGTGGAAAAACAGATCGTCTTTCAGTCCTGTCTGTTTATCAAAATAGAAAGCAAAAAATGATTTTGCTCACCTGTTATCTGGCGCCCAGAACCTATGACGACCAGGCCTCCCCCCGCTAGGCCCAGCAGCCAAGAGAACGAGGCAGCCCTTGCCTCGACTTTCAGTCCGACGTCGGGGTCACCAAAACTGTAAGAAAATTTGTATTCAATAAACTGAAGTCGATATTAAAGACACCATTGTTAAATAAAATGATTTGTAAAAGGAATCAAACCATACAACACTAGAATTCTGGATCTGAGTGAGATTTATTGTCACTCAAGCTGACAGGAAACCATCACTACCGGAAAACCAGGAAGTTCATGTATTTATACACCTTCAGTGCCTGCGTTCGCCCCCTACTGACCTACGGCTGAATCACAGGCATTCAGACAAAAATCTCATCTACTGTTATCACAACGTTTAATTATGTGTTGTCATAGATATTTCGGACATGTAACTAATCTATTATCAATCAAAAAATTGATTAAACACTGTCAACATTACAAAAAGGAAAACCTAAGAATATAGTGTTGTGCTTTTAACATCAGTTCTAACCTCTAATAACTTTAAATTTCTTCAACGGTTTGTGTTTGTAGGAGGGAATATCCACCTCAGATAACACCAAAAATGTTCCTGCTGGAGTGGAGCCGCAAAGAAAAGCTGGAGCAGCCGCATTATGAAACAGTGAGTAAAACCCTGTAAACCTGTTCTCTTTATTTGATGCTTCCTGTTCCCATATTTGCATTTCCTGTTTTGTCTCTGGCTCCTCTTGTGTGGTATTAACCTGAACACATCATGGGATTTGATCTAATGCTACACAGTACACACCTGTAGAAAGCAAAATTCAAGGTTACCTCAATTACAGCTAATGGGCTGGACGGGCCCGCAGGCCACCAGTTAAATAGCCCTGTTATAAACATTAACTAGAAACCCAAGATACGTCAAACCATGAATGAAAAGGAGCAAAGATAAATAAATCTAATCACATCTGCCCCTTGTTTTCAAAAACATAATCAACATTAATACAACACTTTCCAGACTACAGCCTGAACAATTTGCAAATAAGAAATCAATCAAATCCTTTACATCTTATTTGAAGTAATGAGAAACAGTCAAATATTAAAGTAATGAGAAAAACCTTGGTAAAAATTCCTCTCATAACTTTGTTATGAGAAGATAAGTCACTTTAGTCTCTAATAGATATAGACACTTATATCTATCCCTTAGTTAAATCAAAGCCCTTTAACTATTACTTATATTCTTCGCTAGTAGGGGAAAGTGACTTATGTGAAATAAGCCCACCTCTACATCTTCTCATAACAAAGTTATGAGAGGAATTTTTACCAAGGTTTTTCTCATTACTTTAATATTTGACTGTGTAAAGTGAAGAGTGACACAATAAGGGAACGTCAGACGAGTTCAAATTGATTCATAAAAGATTTTGCAATCATTTATTTACACAAATTGAACAAATCATAAGTTACACCTGATTGTGGATTTCCTATAACAAGCGTCAGAGTCACATGAGATGAAAACTCGCGTCCGAATTTCAGTTCACATTAAAACTCAGATTACTTATATAGAACAGTAAAACGTCAGCTCTGATGTTAAAACCAAACAATTCTACTGGCACTTTAACTTAAGGTGGGCAAAGGAAGAATAAGAAAAGGGATGAAAATTAAAGATTAGTGTTTCTGCTTTTATTTTGGAAAGTGTATGTGACAACCGGACCAGCATCGTCCTCTCTGTGCTCAGAACTTCACATGACACGTCACCCCGAACACGTCAGCTTTACCTGGTGATGTCTTCTTAAGGCACCCCTCAGTATGAACTGTCTCACCTCAGACCAGTTAGGGATTGTTTCGATCGGCCCGCTCAATGCTCCGTGGCGAGAAAGTGTTGTTTAGGCAACTTTTCGTCTGTTTCAGCCCAGGCTAGAAAGATTCCAGCTGAAAGTTCCGGTCGTCCTTCAAAATAAAAGTTCTCCCCTCGGGAGGTAAAAACACTTTAAGAGACGTGGGTCTCTGGATGGACAGAAGCGGTGTCAGATTTCACCCTATTTGGCTGAATGGGCGAGATCCGAGGCCAGGCTGGTCCTCCTGAGAGAGATCAGCCGGTCTTCCTCTTTCGGCATTCAGGAAGAAGAGTTCTGTGTGTCTCCAAGACGTCCATGTTAGTACAGAGAGTCGGACGCCTAGGATCCGCCCTCAGGCGTTTAGAGTTGAGTTAGAAAGGAAAGGAAGATAAGCTTTGCCAGCTGGCGCCAGTGAAGGACATTCTGTAGTTGGTTAAACAGACATTTGATAATATCTTCTGGCTTTCTTTCCGATAGACTCTAAGAGAAATCACTGTAAAACATTTATGATGATTAATTAACATTTCTGTTTAAATAATCAGTCTGAACTTGGTGTCCAGATAAATGTAAGATTTTCTTAAGAAAAACTCAAAATTATATTACTGATGTTTCCAGTAAAACAAAACAGTGATTTATATAAAAACACAATGAAAACATGGTGAGGATTTTCCTGTGATTTTATACCATTAATTGATCTTTTAGGCACGATAAAAGAGTAGAAGTGATTCCATCTTCTTTGTGACATGTCATTATTAAGATTAACAAATGCATAACATTCTTAGTTAAACAACAAATGAATCACGAACAGAAAAGTTTGTTTCTGTCCATTATCTGATTAAGAGAACTGAAGCTCCCTTCTAGGTTGAAATGACCTGTCATGGCCTAAAATAGAGTTCAGTGTTCCTGCCTTCTTTCAGGCCTTCCCGAGACCTGCTTTGAGGCAGTAACTCCTGTTTCTTCAAATGAAATCGATTCAAATGAAATCGATTCAAGATGGATAAAATAGATTTTTTTTTACCCAGCCCTACTGCTGACCACTCGGGGAGACACAGTTCTTCAGTCTCACTAACTGGTGAGACAAAGCAAATCCAGCTGAATTGCGTTGAAAGCACTGGAGAAATAAAAAAAATATGATAATGTTGAAATGATGAAATGTAAATATTTCTACTAATAATCCTTACAGCTCTTTTTTGCGAAGTAAAAATAAGATTTGAATAGTTTTACATGCTGTCCCTCAAGCTAGTTGAGTTAATGCATACTGACAATAAAGATTCTTGACTCTTAATTGAATGTATTAAATGTGGAACAATAATGCATTTTATAATATGTACAAGACTTTATCATTTAGTTTCTCTTTTATTTTGTAGTAAATTGCGTCATTTGTTTAGAAATCACTTTTTCTATGATTTTGTGAACCCAGAATGTCACAAGAGTGTTTCAGTGTTGCCTTTTATCTGTTTAATCGTGAAGAAAGACTGTTTAGCTTTTCTGATGTGCATGATCATTTTTTCCGGACTCTATCAGCTGATCATTTACCAGGACTAATGTGCTGTGAATACAGTCTGACTGTTTTTTTTTTTTTCCGCAGGTGGAGCGTTCTCAGGACCGAGCTTTTCAGTCCACAGTGACCGTAGCAAAGAAGAAATACAGATCGTCTCTTTGGTTAGTACACACACACAGATTTGTTTTTATATCCCAGTGGGGACTGTGGATTGACTTCCATTCATTTTCTGGTAATTTTATATCCTAACCCTGACCATTTACCCTAAAATTTACCTCACAGGTACCTACCTACCTAAAACTAACCTAAACTCAATTCACGCTTTGGTCCTAAACCAAACCCCCTCACCCGTAATCAGCATCTGTACCCATGGGGACCGTGCAGTCACTGTGACTAGGATGACCATATCCTGAATAATCAGAGAAATAGCTACATTTATTATTACTCAGACCTGAGAAGTAAAATACCCTTAAACTAATGAGTGTAGCAGTTGAGGAACACAGGGCAATAAGCTGCTTTTAGAGCAGCAAAGATATTAATCAAAAACAATGATAATGAACAAACAGTTAAACAAAAAGCTGCTCCACAGAAGTAGTTTAAGTTGATTTATAAAAACCGTCAGATCCTACAAGTGTCACAGTTTTTTTTTCCCTTGGCAAGTCTTGTGTCTAGTCCAGTTTTTTTGACAAGGTATGTTTACTCCCTGAATGTTTACTGACTTTACTGCAGTGTGTGTGAAAATCCACCACCAGCTGTTTTGTTTTTCCTTGTGGTGATCTGCAGGTTTTTGCACTGTTACTCATTCAGCTATTCAGTTTCTTTATATAGCATCAATTTACAACAATGGTAATTTCAGGGCTGTATACAAAAATAAAAAAACTTTTAAGTTTATTCCAGATGTAGATTCAGATTTATTTACAGTTGATTATTGCACCCATTTATTTATTTTCTTTACCTGCTTTGTCTTTCTGGGTGGTGTCAATTCATTTTTTTGTACTAAAATGCAATCACATTTAAAACATAATAAAACAAGGATTAGTAAAAGTTATGCATCTTAGGAAGCCAGCAAATTGTGATGTCTTCACTTTGATGCAATCTCCCATCCTGAGCAGCACAGTGGAGAGAAAAAAACTCCTCTTTAACAGGAAGAAACCTCCAGCAGAACCAGAACCAGGCTCAGGACAGGCGGCCAGCTGCCTCGACCCACTAGGTTTAGAGGGGACAGGAAAGAGACAGGAACACAGGACTGGTCCAGGTGTATTTTCCTCTGGAAGAGAGACAAAGGAAACATGTTATTGATAGAAATAATTACAATAAACATGTAATAAACAAGAGAGACTGAAGACAACAGCAGAGTGAGGAAATGTGCTCAGTTTGTGCTCCAGCAGTCTAAGTCTATAGCAGCAGAAATGAAGAATAATTCAGGAAACCTAAGTCTAAGTATAAGACTTATCAAAAAGGAAAGTCTTCAGTCTAATCTTAAAAGTAGACAGTGTCAGCCTCACGGACAGAAACTGGAAGTTTGTTCCACAACAGAGGAGCTTGATAACTGAAAGCTCTGCCTCCCATTCTAGTTTTAGAAACTCAAGGAACCACAAGTAAACCTGCAGTCTGAGAGCGAAGTGCCAAGTTGACTGAAGTGATTATTGTCTCCACGATGACGAGTTGAGAATGTGAAATAGAAGATGTGCAATTTAACATCTGCTCATATTTCCAGTCATACGTACGTACTGTATGCATTCTTTGAGCAGATAATTACTTAGATTTGTTTTTGTTTTGTTTCCAACAGGGAAAAGTCCAAAAAATTTGCAGAACAAGCGTCTGCCATCGTCTGCCTACGAGTTTTAGGAATCCCAGAGGGTCGCATCGGTGAGGAGGATTCTGGTCTGGTTTGCAAGAGGAAGAGGGAGGAAAGGCCAGAGGGGCAGAGCAAGAAGCTGCATGTGCAGGAAGTGGAAACCTCAGAACCCGCCGAGGGGACGAACAGTGAACGCCAACACGGTACCACACCTCGAGCTCGGATGAAGGAGTTTGAGACGGAGGATTAATCAACCACACTTCCAGTTGATGTTGACGGTTTTGGGACTGAATGTTATCTTCTTGAGCATCTTCCAAAGTGAACTCTAAATTCAGACTGAAAGAACAGCTGCTGATGTCTGGAGCTGATTGATCCGATTCTTTCAGCTCAGACAGATGATCCTAACGTTGCTTCTGTTTTTGGTTTAATCAGGACGTAGTTTGTATTTGAAGCAGGTCAGGTCTGGGTCTTACCGAGTCTCACCTGGTCCTCAGTTTGGTTTCCTAAAACAGTTAAGATTTGGACTCTCAAACTCAGTTTCATTCTTCCTTATGTTTCTGTAAGTTTTTTTAAAGGTTATTTTGATAAAGGTATTTTGACTTGTATACATGATTCTGTGCAAAATTCCTGATCCAGTCCTCATTTCTTCCTGGGTTTTCTTTCAAGCAGTCAGACTTTCTGTAATCTTGGTGGTTGGGATCAGCAGTTCTGACTTTCTGAAGGTCTATTGCAGCTTTTTCTCAGATATTCAGTTCTCAGACCTGAATATTTGGAGCTTATTTGTTTTTTCAGCCTCTTACAGGGTTTCTGTTTCTTCTGGGTCACAGAAAGTTTTAAGCTGAATCATTTTTATTTTAGGCCTTGCAAACATAAATACATCAAGATTTTTTACTTTAGGTCTTAAATGTGTACCTTTGTTTATTTTTCAGTTTATTTATTGTTTAATGCGCTCACTGTTCCTTCTCGAGGTCTGTAGTTCTGTGAGGAATTAAAATGTTTTTACCCTAAAACTGAACCAAAGCTTCCATCATGCAGCAGTCCTGTCGGAGGGAGTATGACAAACATTCTGCCTTCCTCAAAAAATCTGTTTTTTATTTATTAAATTTTTTTATGATTTGGGTTGAATCTGAATGAATCAATTCTGTTACTTTAAAATACATTTTACAATGACTCATTTTTTATGATTCTTGTAGATCTTAAATTTGAATCAGTAGTATTTAAAAAGTTCTGAATTTACTGACTGAAACTTACAGAAACACTGCACTTAACTCTGACTTATCAGTATAGAATAAATCTTAAATGTTTTTGCTTGGAGAAAACCCTTTTCTTGACTATCTTGGTTATTTTTTAGTGTTTTTCATATATTCACAAACAGAAAAGTGAACAGATTGTGTTTCTGTGACAGGCTGCTGGAAATGACAAGTCCAATGGTTTATTATAAATTTTAAGTTCTTTGTCTCTGGTTCATCCCACGAGTACAGAGGTAAAAACCCTGCTCTGAAAATGGAGAAAAAGAAAAGCTGAAGGTCCATCAAACTTGATCTGGTGTTTGTGAAATCTTACAGGTAAATCTGTCTGCTTGGAAGAAAGAAATTAGGTCAGAGATGAATGAATCCAAGCTTGCACAGTTGTGTAAATCACCTCTGTTGAAGATTTTTGCACAGTTCTGTCCGTTATTTGAGCTGTTGATGACCTGCCTGATGATTGTTTCAAAATGAAACCATTAAAACCTGAACAACCTCTGAGCTTTGTTGTTAAAACTTACATTATTATGACAGTAACCTTCATGCAAAGTCCACACAGAAAGACCCCAGGTCCAAACCAGGGTCTACCATGCTGCTAAAACAAAGCTTGAAGCTGGTTTGAAAGAAAAAAAAAACTTTGTTTTAAGAAAAGCTCGATTTAGCTTCTTTTTCTTTGCTATATGAAAACATACATTAAAACAATAAAAAAGCAAGACATCCACCTGCTCATTATACACATTTTATGACTTAAAAAGAAATGAATAGTCTCACAATGCAGTACATTTGAATAGAGAACAAATAAAAAATCAGGAGTTGGACACACCTTTAGGACACAATCACACTGCAAAAAAATGTCCATCTAACCAAGTTTTAAAATCTTATATCAGCCAAAAAGTCTTTTTGATGTTGTTTTGAGACTGATTTACTAAACAAGAACTGATTGTGTAAGAATAATAATCGTTTTCAGAATGTGAAAGATTATTTGTCTTGTTAGCCTTAAAATTTGACTCAAATTAAGTGAAAATTTTCTGCAAATGGAGTAAGAAGAATTTTACTTTGTAAGATTCTTGAAATACTTGATTTGACTCAATTTTTTTAAATTTCAAGAAACTTACCAAGTAAAATTTTCTTACTCCATTGGCAGAAATTTTTGACTTGAGTCAAATTTTCAGACTAACAAGACAAATAATCTGAAAACAAGATTATTATTCTTACACAATCAGTTCTTGTTTAGTAAATCAGTCTCAAAACAAGATCAAAAAGACGTTTTGGCTGGATATAAGATTTTAAAACTTGGTAAGATGGACAGTTTTTGCAGTGCAGTTTCTTCCACTATGGGTCAGGCTAAAGACCAGTCAAAGAACATCAAGGACCAGATAGACTGGACGAGTCCAGACCTGCTGTGTTCTAATAAACTGAAGGTCTCCCTGCTGCAGGGAGCATGCAGTTTGTCAGTGATCGTAGTTGAGACCTTGTGAGTGATGCAGGATTTCAGTCGGTTCCAGCCTTGTGCAGATCCACAATCTTGAAGTCCTCTGACACGTTTTTGCTTGAGTCGATGAAGAGCTTGCAATGGAAGAAACCCAGTTGGTGGACTATGGAAGCAATTGTGTTCCATAATCCTAATTAAAATGGATTAATAGAAATGCTGTTTCATTTTCAACATGTACCTGATTTTTTTGACTCATAAGTAAAATTATAAATACATAATCCAAACTGTATTGCTCAAAGTGTAAATTAATTAAAATGTTAAATAAAACAAACTTTGACATTTAATTTTCAAAATATGTCCTGGTAAAAAGTGACCAAAATTCATTTTGAAAAGTCAAATCGGAAAATTATAATGCATTAGCAGAAATGCTTTTTCATTTCAAAGTCAAACCTGCATTTGTTTACTCATAAATAAAATTAGAACTAAATAATCCAAACTGCATTATCATTATATTTTCCAAGGCTGCTACATTTGTAAATTAATTAAAATGTTAAATAAAACAAACATTGACATTTAATTTTCAAAACATGTCCTGGTAAAAAGTGACCAAAATTCATTTTGAAAAGTCAAATCGGAAAATTATAATGCATTAGCAGAAATGCTTTTTCATTTCAAAGTCAAACCTGCATTTGTTTACTCATAAATAAAATTAGAACTAAATAATCCAAACTGCATTATCATTATATTTTCCAAGGCTGCTACATTTGTAAATTAATTAAAATGATAACTAAAACAAACTTTGACATTGACTTTTCAAAATATGTACTGCTAAAAAGTCTCCAAAATTA